GCTTTGTTTGGTTAATAAAATCTGCTGAATGGTTTAAAAAAAAAATGGTTAATCAAAAAAGGCTTTGGCTCTGCTTGTGGTTTCCCGAAAAGCTACTTTTTCATAGTCATGTTTCCATCGACTTCCTTCTCTCACATTGCCTGTTCTCCTGTGTCTAAAACACACCGTCTCCCTCCTGTTTTGCTTTAAGACTAGTCACAGCATCCTCACCCAGGCCTCAGACTGTCCTCCTCCTAGACCTCCTCTCCTGCACCCTCAACTGCCTGGCCCCACCTACGCTTGGACAATTTATAAACAAGGAAAAGATGAAATCCTTTCTCCTCGTGCCCTGCACTCACCCGGTAGTCCTGCACATGCCCACCCCATTCCCTGAAACCCTGGCAGGTTCTGGACACAGAGCTGGAGCTTCTTACCCTGCTCACTGCACAGCACTGAAAGTAGGAACCCACCTGGATGGACATCAGGCCTGGCCCAGCACCCAGCTGACTTTCAAGCAGAGGGATCTATGGGGGCAGGCAATGCCACCCAGCCCCTCCTGGCATCTCCACACTTGCTGCCTGCCTGCTCCACTCAAAAGGATGCAAAGTGTGGTCTGTGGAGGGCTGGCCTGGTGCTGAGTTCTGCGTCTCTGCCGCAACTCCCAGGGCTTTTAGCAGGTGCTGTAGTCTCTGAGCCTGGGTTTCCTCTCCCACAAAATGAACTGTGGGAAGGGCAGAGCTGTTTACAGTTCTCTCTAGTGGAGAAGTCTGTGAAAAACTGGTGTGTTTGAGTGGCTGGGAAATCAGGTGAGGGGCCGTGAGGGGAGGAGATGATGCTGGGACAAGAGGAGCCTTGAATGTGTGTACATTCCTCAGAGTCTGGGGCTTGGCACTGAACTTGCTTGAGCAGGAGATGCCTTTGTAAGATCCCTTCTAGCAGCATATTGGGTAAGGGTAGGGATTGTACTGGGAGGACTAGAAACAGACCAGGGAGGAAGCCAATCTGATTCTCTAAGGGATGGCTGGGTTTGGTCAGGGGCTAGCAGTAGAGGTGTAAGTAGGGATACCGAGGTGCTGACCCCTGTATTTTGAGTCAGATCCTCAAGCGTGAGACCAGTGCCATCAACAGAGGCAGCGAGAGTGGAGGTGCTCATTCGGCCCATATTTATGACATTTCAGGATTCTGGGAGGAGAGAATGGATGCCTGTGTTTTCTCTGGTCACCAGGTAAGTGCAGATGGGCTGTCTATGGAGGAGCCTTTCCAGTCAGCAGTCAGCACCAGCCAGAGTGCTGAAGTTTATGACTGCTGTAGCCAGTTTCTGCTTTATTCCTGGTTTTAATTTTCTTTTTTTTTGAGACGGAGTTTCACTCTTGTTACCCAGGCTGGAGTGCAATGGCGCGATCTCGGCTCACCGCAACCTCCGCCTCCCGGGTTCAGGCAATTCTCCTGCCTCAACCTCCTGAGTAGCTGGGATTACAGGCACGCGCCACCATGCCCAGCTAATGTTTTGTATTTTTAGTAGAGACGGGGTTTCACCATGTTGACCAGGATGGTCTCGATCTCTTGACCTTGTGATCCACCCGCCTCGGCCTCCCAAAGTGCTGGGATTACAGGCTTGAGCCACCGCACCCGGCCTAATTTTCTAATATTTTGTAGCAAGCACCCTTTTATATGAATGACACGGGGCATTGTGGTTGGCGTCTGGCCTTCATGGTGTTTTTCCACCTTTTTTTTCTGATTGAGGACACATTTTCGGCACTAGCCTTGGCATCACCACATAAAGAAAATTTGGGGCTGGGCATGGTGGTGCACACCTGTAATCCCAGCACTTTGGAAGGCCAAGGCAGAAGAATCATTTGCGTGAGCCCAGGAGTTCAAGACCAGCCTGGGCAACATAATGAGACCTCTTCTCTACCAAAAATTAACAAATTAGCTGGATATGACACATGCCTGTAGTCCCAGGCCTGTGGTCTAGTATAAGAGGCTGAGTTGGGAGGTTGGCTTGAGCCTGGGAGATTTGAGGTACCAGTGAGCTGTGATTGTGCCACTGTGCTCCAGCCTGGGAAACAGAGAGAGACCCTGTCTCCAAAAAAAAAAAAAAAAAAGGGCCGGGTGTGGTGGCTCATGCCTATAATTCCAGCACTTTGGGAGGCTGAAGCAGGCAGATCACGAGGTCAGGAGATCGAGACCATCCTGGCCAACATAGTGAAACTCTGTCTCTACTAAAATACAAATATTGGCTGGGCGTCGTGGCACGAGCCTGTAGTCCCAGCTACTTGGGAGGCTGAGGCAGGAGAATTGCCTGAACCCAGGAGATGGAGGTTGCAGTGAGCCGAGATGGTGCCACTGCACTCCAGCCTGCCGCCTGGCGACAGAGCAAGACTCTGCCTCAAAAAAAAGAAAACTTGTCTGATAGTGTTGTGTTGTAGGTTTATATTTTATATTTTAATAATGGCAAGTGTAGAAAGAAAAAGATGAAAGGAGAAAGACGGAAGGAGAAAACCAGGTATGAATATCCCTCTAGCCACTTGGAGGAGGTCTGATCCAGGGAACATTTCCATTATGGGATACCCTCTTTATCATCTGAGATGACACAAACAGTTAAAATGCAATCAGCTCACCCGCCACTAGCTTTAAGAATGTTAAATTCTTGACCTATTTTTAAAAATTTGCAATATGCATTTTTTCAAATTTGGTGCATTAAATGAAACAAATATTTTTTAATTGCTCCATTTCAAATTAGCATGATTTCATTTCAAATAAAATGCCACTGTGTTACTCAGGAATTTATCACCAAAAGAGGAAATGTAGATATTAGACAGCTTTATTAAGGTATAATTTACATACTGTAAAACCCATCCTTTGTAAGTTTACATTTTAATGATTTTAATAAACTTCTGGAGTTGTGCAACCCTTACCACAATCCAGTTTTAGAATCACCCCACAAAGGCAAGGGGGTGGTGGCTGGGCTTTCTGACAAAATCTATACTCAGACTAACATGTCCCCCATGGACCCCAATCAGTTCCAGGCTAGGGCAGTGGAAAGGCCAGTTAGCTATCCAGCCACCATCCTTCCCCATACTTCATCCTGGCTCCTGGATTCCACACCACCTTGTGCTGTGGTAGCTGCTCTGAGCTGGGGGCAGGCCTTGTTTTCTGGAGTTCTGGACTTTGACCTGAGCTAGCCCCAGCATGCGGAAACTTCCATCCCATCTCCTTTTGTCTACTTCTACCCTGGAGTGGAGGTTATTTTGCTCTTGCTCTCTGCCCCCATCAGGTATACCACAGCGGGGCTCTCAATTGCTTTTCAGTGGCGCTTTGGGGTTTCCTGTCTGATTTTTTTGGGTATTTCCCATGGGAGTGGAGTACAACCTTTCAGAACAAACAACCCTTCTGCCTTCTCCATGGGGTCTGCCTTTGCAGATTGCTCATTCAGTCCCTTCCTGTCTTGACTTGAAAGGTTTGCTGGGGTCCTCATGGTGGCACTGGGGGACTTGCTCTCTGTGGAGTCTCCTTCAGCTTCTGGAAGACCCTCCCCTTTTCTCCTGGATTTTTGTCTGCTTTGTCCACAGGTGCATTACAAGGCCTCAGGAGAGTGCCCGCCTGTAGTAGGCATTCACCAAATGTGTTGACTACCTGGAATTGGAGTGCCATAAGGGAGCTGCCTGGAGAGCTCAAGGGTGCTGTCAATTCCTTCCCATCTTGGGAGCTGGGAGGCCTAGTCCTATTGGATCTAGTGTAAGCTTCTTACAGATGTTTGGATCTCCTTTCTCTGAGGGGCCCTAGTTCCCTGAGCCAACTTAGAAGCTGATCTGCCCTTCAGCAGAGTCTCTCTGTTCCTCTTCCTAGACTCATGCTTTTTGGCTGGGTCACTTTCCCAGCTGGGCCTGTAGCAGTTCTGAGCTGGGCCATCCAGCCGTTTGACAGCTGCTTTGGAGATGAGAGGTCCCAGCTCCTCCTTCTGGCCTAGCTTCCCATCAAATGGGGCCCTGGGTCCTCTCCTCACAAGGATTTTGGCCTCTTCTGCAGTTTTGTAGCCAGCCTGGATTCTGGCCTTCTGCAGCTTGCTCCCTCCCTTCCCTTCTGCCCCTGGGAAGAGTGACCTCTGCCACTGCTGGGGAGGGGGACTCACTGCCTGTTCGTCAGAGTGGGCATTCAGGTGACACTGCCATGGTCGTCCCCCTCCCCGTGATCCATTCTGGAGGGGGTCATTCCAAGTCCAGGCCTGCAGGCCCAGAGCTCCCGTCATGGCCTCTGCCTATTCCTGACTGGAGGTGTGGGAGGCAGCAGGTAGGGGAGCCTGGGCAGGTGGACCCGGCCTGGGTGGGGGGCAGGCAGGTAGCGAGGGACACCACCTGGGGTCCCAGATGAGGAAGGGTCCTGGTGGGCAGTGGTTTAGGGGCCAAGCGGATCCGGGGTGTGGGCGCGCCAGGGTGTTGATCAGGAAGGGGGCATGGGTGCTGAGGGCGGGGTCTGTCTGGGGGCGGGGCTTAGGGCGGAGTCGGGTCGGGCGGAGTCGGGATTGGGCGGAGTCGGAGTCGGGGTTGAGGTAGGCCTGTGGGTGGAGTCGAGGTTGGGCCGAGGGCGGACTCGGGGCGGTGGGCGGAGGTGGGCCTGAGGGCGGAGTCGACGTCGGGGCTGGGGGCGAAGTCGAGGCCGGGGTGAGGGCAGAGTCGGGGCGGATTGAGGTAGGCCTGAGGGCGGAGTCGGGGTGCGCTGAGGTGGGCCTGAGGGCGGAGTCTGGGGGCGGGGACGTAGGCGGAACCGAGGTCGGGCTGAGGTGGGCCGGAGGGTTGGGCCCGGGGGAAGGAGTGGGTGCCGGGCTGAGTCGGGAGCCGGGGTGGGGCGGAGTCCCGGACAGGCTGGGGCGGGCCTACAGGCCGGACTGGCCTGGCGCGGAGCTTAGGGCCGGCCGGAGTTTTGCGGAGGGCCGGGTTTGGCGGGTCCGGGGCGGAGCCGAACCCGCGGAGCTCCGGGTTCGGGCGTGGCCGAGCCGAGCCGGGGCGGGACCCAGCCAGGGTGGGGCGGGGCCGAGGCCGAGGCAGGCGGTCGGCTGCGCCGGAGGTTCAGGTGTTGCGGCTGCTCCACGTAGCCTGGCGGCCCGCAGGCTGGAGCGAGCGAAGCTTGCCCCGCGGCTTGCGTGAGCTCAGACCGGTCCCAGCGTCCAGAGCGCCTGTCCTTCGGCTCCCTCTAGGCCATGGCGGGGCCGGGCCCGGGCCCCGGAGACCCAGACGAGCAGTACGATTTCCTGTTCAAGCTGGTGCTGGTGGGCGACGCGAGCGTGGGGAAGACGTGCGTGGTGCAGCGCTTCAAGACCGGCGCCTTCTCGGAGCGCCAGGGAAGCACCATCGGCGTCGACTTCACGATGAAGACGCTGGAGATCCAGGGCAAGCGGGTCAAGGTGGGAGGCCGGCCAGGGCCCCTGGAAGGCGCTCTCTTGGCGGGTGGGGCGGGGGCAGCGGAGCGCCAGGCCTCCGCGAGCGCCCCCGGTGTCCGTCCGAGGTTTCCTGGGCTTTCTCTTTTTCCTTTCTCGGGTCAGAGCAATCCTGGGCCCCGGGGTCTGGGCCGGGTTCGAGTCCTCAAAGCGCAGGCCTTGGGTTGCAGATAGGGGTGAGGGAGTGTGGAGGAGGCGGCCCTGCCCTCTGGAGCTCACACGTTGGGGGTACTGTGCTCCAAAGTAACTTTAGCCTTTGGGAGGCAGGGGGTTAGACTCCCCTGCTCCAGGTACTAGCGGAGCGCCTCGGAGTGCGGAGACCAGACGTCCCCCCTCCCCCCACCGCGGTGGCAGCCCTCAGCTCGGCTCACCGGCGGGGCACTCAGCCAGAGAACTGCACCCCCTAAGGACTAGGAGCGATCAGGAAGTAGTTGCTTCTAGCACCGGAGGGCCAAAACTTTTTGTCAGAATTTCCGGCCTGGCCACGCCTCCCTGCAGTCTCTTTGTGGACCTGGTGGTGGAACTTTACTCCACTAAGGCCAGCCCCAGTTCCCTCCCCTAGCTAGAGTTTGATAGAAACTGAAAACTTCACAGATACCGGAAGGTGGGGGAGAGGATCAAGCTTTGGCAATGGCTCCTAATAAAAACAGCAGGATGTGGTTGCCACAGTGTCCTGGCAGTGGTTTGATAAATATTTGTAATGAATGAAATCAGAGCTTCTTAACCTAGGTATCAGTACTCCCTAATCAACTAGGAGATCCTGGACTGAGGGCACTCAGTAACTTTTTTGAACCGCACTGTACAGCAATCTTTGGTTGCTTTCATGGTTTGGAGTCCCCATGATCTTTAGGACACCTTTCGGAGCACAGGGACCAGACGATCTCTGCCAGGGAGATGGGAGTCACTTGAGCCTTGCTGCTGCTGGGCTCTGCCTCTCAGAGTGGCTCTAGGCCTGCTCCTTGTTGCCTTTGGCTAGGCCACGTAGCTCTTTGTTTCTGTAAAATTGGGATAATTTCTGGGTGTTGCCTCCCTCTTGCCCTACGATGGAGAAAAAAGTAAGTCAACAGCCTTTATGTGACCACAGTGCCTCTCAGATGTGACAACGAAGCAGAAACTGCTGCCTGAGGGTTTTTTTTTTTTAATAGTCTTCTGGGGTCTGTGTTTTGGTCTTCGTGGATGGAAAAGAGCAAGGTGCAGAAGGCAGCTTTGAGTCACTTGGGACCACCCTTTTGGAGCAAGTAGCCAGGGAAAGGCTGGAGTGGGTGTAGTGTTCATTAATGAGTGTGTGCCCAGTGATGATGCCAGCAGCTGCAGGGAAAGGGGAGTGCGAAAATACAGGCCAAAGAGCAGTGGTGTCCTCACAAGCTGTAGTGCTGTGCCCAGAGCGTTTGTGGTGGCCCAATGCTGACAGTGGTCAGGGAGCGGACAGGGTTCCTGTTTACCTGTCGAGATAACAACCTGTGCCCCAGCAGACCTCCCGGTTTACTGTGCACAGTGCAATTCAGGGCCGGGCAGCTCGTTATTTCCTTTCTTTATGGTTGCCTCCAGGTTGTCCTTCCTAGGAGGCAGCCTGTGTGCCGGGACGCAGAAGAGCTGTGTAGCTGTAGTAAAACCTCTCCAAGTTATAGCTGCTGCCCTTCTTGAGAGGCTGTTGGGAGCCAAATAGGTTACAGGTGCATTCTCCGCTGACTGGTGGGAATTCTTAGCCCCACTCACACAGGATGGAGCCTGGGCTCACAGCTAAGAAGTGACAGGTGGGAATATTTTTTCCAGTTTTTCTGACTCCAAAGCAGGAGCAGTTTTCCCCCCACAGCCAACAAACAGCTTTTCAGAATCACATTGCCTGGAGTGGGGAAGCCTCTGGCAGTTGTTTACCTCCTCATTTTGCAGTCAGGAAAACCTGAAGTGTAGCTCACTCCAGAAGCTCCAAATTAAAGCTGGGCAGCTGTGAACCTGAGGGAACACTGTCCTTCGAGTCAGGATTCCTGGGGTCCACTGCCTCAGCAGGAGCAAGCTGTTTTCCCTCCTCCATCTGCAAAGTGCCTCTGAGTAGTCTTTTGGCAGTGTGATTTTTAAGTTTTTTGAGGTCTAATTTACACACAGTAAACCATTACCACTTGAGGTGCACAGGTCTATAAACTTGACATACACAGACATGCAACCACATCACAACCAAGATCAAGAATTTTTCCACCAACCCAGAAAGTTCCTTTTGTTCCTTTGTAGTCAGTTTCTTTCGCCCCATCCTCTGGCAACCCCCGATCTGTTTTTTGTCCCAGTACTTTCAGCAGTGTGATTTTAACTGAAACCCTTGATGAACCAGAGTTTATTGTTGTTTTTTTCTTTGAAAAGCAAGTGCACATCAGGGATTTAGTTTAAATCCTTCCCAGGATCTCGACATGGTGGTTCATGCCTGTAATCCCAGCACTTTGGGAGGCTGAGGCAGGAAGATTGCTTGATGCCAGCAGTTTGAGATGAGCCTGACCAGCATAGTGAGACTCAGTATCTGTTATAAAATAAAATAAAATAAACCTTCCCAGGGCCTGTCCTGGAAGCCTGGGATGCTTGTCTAACAAGCATCCAGTCTTATCTCCTAGAGCTTTCCCTGTGATTCTTTACAATGATGCTGGGTTTTATTAGAGCTTGAGGAAGCTTAGAGATGGATCACCTGGTGATTTTCCAGCTCTTCTGAGCTTGGAGGTACCAAAAGGTAAGGAGAAAGGCCAAGAGGGCAGAAAGAGGGTCAGAGGGCTTTAACTAGCTTCCCAGCCAGTCAGAGCAGTACCTTTATCTAGTTGTATATTGAAGTTCTACTTGTTATTTGAGTAAAGAGTTTTGCTGCTATAAAAATAAAACATTTGAGAATTACACATTTAATCAAATTATTTCTGTAGCTACTTCCCATTACAGCCAGAATAACCTCCAGACACCTTCCCCAAAGAGATGGACCTCTGGAAGGAGACAAAGTTGGAGAGGCATACAGAGGCCCATCTCTACCCTTTACCGCCTGATCTCTAGCCTCACTAGTCCTTCAACATGCCGGGCTCACCCCTGCCTCGGGACCTTTGTATCTGATCCCCTGCCCATCATACTTTGCCTCGAGATCTCCATGTAACTGCTGCATCTTCTGAGAGGCTTTCCCTGACCTCCCAGGTCCTCTATTCTGTAACTGTATTGTGTCTAGTTGTAACCCTTACCAGAGCTTCAAATTAACTGGTTTTTTTGTCTCCCCCTTTAGAAGGTAAGCTCTTTGAAGACACAGGGATCCAGTGGGCCAGTGTTAAACACATGATGTCCAATATGTGCCTGTTAATTTGTTCCTTTATAGAGAAGAAGCTGAGGCCAAGGTCACTTACAAGTCTGTGGCAAAATCCAGGGTTTGGCTGGCTCCTAAGCCCAGTCCTCATTTTCACACTTGACCACCCTTCTGATTTGCTCTGAGTTCGTAAAGATGACCCTGAGATTCATTCTCTGAGTGAATGGATCTAATAAAAATGCAGTTGTGGTCATTGTACTCACTGAGGGAAGAATGTGGAATGGGGCATTTTAGAAAGATTTGGTTTGACAGTTGAAGAGTTTTAGGGTATTTATCAGTTATTAACAAGAATGTGTAGATATACCCAACAGCTCACAGATGATGCTGTACGAGTCAGTAAGGGTTTGTATGTGGTGGTCATTTTCAGTGTTCTTGTGGATGCATTTGGCTCTAGCTATGAGAACGGGACTTAGAAAGTGAATCTGAGTGCTGCTTCTCTTACATACTATGGAGTCTCTGACAGAGAGCACTGGACTAGGAGTCTGAAGAATCTGGGTCTTCAACCCTACCACAATCTTGGGCAATTATTTTTTTCTCCTTGGAGCCTCTGACTTCCTCATCTGTGAAATGGGACTAATAATCTTTGCTCTGCCTCCTTCTTAGGGTTGTTGGAAAACTTTGGACATGCTTAAAATAGTTTAAAGTTACCTTATTTTTGAATAGCTAAACCATTCATATGGTTCAAATTTCAAAATTTTAAAAACTTCAAAGAGTATGCAGTGAAGTCTCCCTTCTGTGTTTGTCCTATAAGCCACCCAGTGTCCTCTAAGAAGAACCCATTACTGCAACCCATTTCTTATTTAAAAACAAAGATTTATAAATATAAACATAGTAAATATAAATAAATATAACAAATATAAATATATATATTATTATTGCTGCAGTTACTGTTTTCCTCCTAGATGAGACAGATTAGGTCTGAATTTGCCCCTCCCCCACACCACTCCTCCCCACCTCAGTGTCCTCAGGAAATCTCAGCTGGCTCTAAATCCTTAAAACATTCTGAAGCTCCTCCACTCACTCTTATCTGGGACAACACAAAGGCCTGTTATGTAAACTCATTTTTGCAGATCACTAGACACACGGGCCTCAGGTCCGGCACAGGGGTCAGCCTTGTGGAACTGTACCCCTCTATTCACCTCTCTCTCAGGCTCGCTGTCTGCTCTCTGGAGATGCTGCCAGATCTCTCCTTCAGAGAGGTAAAGTCTGTGCCCTTGGGCCTGGACCTCCAGATTTCAGGACCTTTTTGGCCTTGGCTCTCAAGCTTCCCTTAGCCCTAGGAGTCATCTTTGTTTTTGTAGCTGTTCCTGGCACTTCAAAAAGAGAGGGCGGGGCAGGATAAGAGGAAATGGTTTCTGGTTAAAGTTTGCATTCTCAGTCCTTCCAATCAAGAGTCTAGTTCTGCTCATCTGTTTTTTTTCCTATTTGGGTAAAGTCTGTTTGACTTTTCAGTTTTCATCAGAAATAGCAAAAGGACTGTTAGATAAGAAAGAAGTTCTAGGTCATGCTGATTGTCTGAAGAAATCTGTTCTTGATGCCAGGGACAGCCATCCTAATTGCAAAATAAACCTTGCCGCTGGAGGTTTCTTAGACCCCTGAGGCAGCGTGTATGGTGGAGAGATACTGGAAAGAGGGCCGACTTTAGAGTTGT